GCTATTTTGTTTCCGCTATTGCTTACAGTTACAGTAAGCTTATAACTCGACTCCACCACCACTTCCTCGTCCAGTTCCAAAAACCTACTATTTGTTGATCCTGCGTTTCCTTCAACCTTTTCCTGTGGTAATGCTGATTCCGAGACACAAGATCAAGTTTCTCTAAGACAAATAGTTATCTCTTGCCAGACTTAATACCTTCATCCTTACAACTTTTTTTGAAAAGATTAATTAAAACATGTTATCTTTACATTACAAGGACATTGTTAAGATTTTGTTGGTTTTTTAGACAAACAAATGTATTATTAATCATATTTAAAGGCATACTTTGCTGATGCTTTTGGTTTTTATTATATTAACTGTATTTTTTGTGGATTAAACTATTCCTAATGTTGTATAAGTTGGTGACATATTTCTTATTTTAACTGTATGACATACGGTAAATTCATTATTACCGTGTTTTTTTATAAATTAAACCAACAATATGAACAAATTTTTGGTCACATAACTGTGCAAAACGAATTATTAGTTTTTTTTTTTTATAAAATAAGATTCGTAGAAACAGTCATCATTCAATTTCATAACTGCTTTTAAAGGATGTTATATCTGATAGTTTAAGACAATGTTGTATTCTTACAAGTACCAACTCATTACAGAATAGTTTTACTGGAATCGATGCTTGAGTGTTAACGTATTCTTTGACAATTAAGAGAGTGTGATTTATCCTTACAAATTTTACAATTTCTTAAATAATGCCTTTTGAACTTTTTATAGCTTGTAGTAAATGAAAGTTTAAGGTTTTAGAACAAAACGTCGAAATCATCCAGTGGATCTCAATTAGCAACTGATTCGCGAAGATGCGATAATGCACATACATTAAACGTCATTGCTTTTACTTCATAAATAATTTTAGTGTCAAACATAAATCTGCCTAACGTTCTATGAGTATACAAAATATACAAAGTCTGCACGTATAGAAGACAATAGAATAGCTCATATGGGGAGAATCACGTCAACTGTCCCAGCGCCGCGGTGGACGGCCCGCGCAGGCGTCAAACACGACGTTTTCAACTCGTCGTTTCTTTGTCAAAACTTTAATAAAAAAATTATCTAAAAACATATTCTTACGTATTTTTTCCTCAGCTTTCCAGTGGTGGCATCAATTTTTCGAAAATTTGCTCCCATAACCTCGAAAAATGCACTTGTTTGAAAAACACATTTTATCTCCATGATCTTCAACTTTTAGAATTTTTTTGGTAGTCTAGATCGAAAGATCAGACATTTTTACGTAGATATCGACAACAAAAAAAAAGAGGTTTTTCGTTTTTATAATGTATTTAAACGACGAACGAGACGATGCGAGCCGCGGTGGCCGGGCCACGCGTGGCAGCAGCGCGTCCGCCGTGTGTCGTCTGCTACGGTGAGTCTGTTTGGCTATATAATACATAATGTAGTAGTGGCGATGTAAACAACAACTAGTTAACCAGGGCTTACAATGGATAAATAATAAATGTTTTGATAAAATTTATTCATATATTCAACAATTTTATAATAAAGAAATAAATAATGATTAATATTGATTAAATATTAGATATTTACATAAGTAAAGCAAAAAATAAATACAAATTTGTTTTACTTCGTTCTCTTTTTCTTTTTAGGCATAATAATCGAAGTGACACTTGTTTTACGTTCTTTCAGGTTCGGAAAAATTTCATACTGGTTACTCAAAAAAGTTTTCTTCAACATTAATTTATTATTCTTAATCGGGATAAGCGCATGATAATTCAGTGTCCCTGGAATCAGTTTCGCACTGGAAATTTCGTCTTTTAATCTCAAGGAAGATTCTTCGTAGTCAGATTTGCTACTAAAAAAACCTTCGTTTCTTTGCAGTAAAACCTACGAGAACTTCGACTTACGATAGCACAACCTCAAGTCATAAAAATAATAAATACTAATATTTAATTAATCAATTGAAACTTGTTGCGAAGTGCAAACCGTCACGGTTAGGTGTATTTGTTTACATCCTGTCAGAGAGACGGTAGCAGACGGCGCGCTCCTGCCGCGCATGGCCCGGACGCCGCGGCTCCCATCGTCTCGTTCGTCGTTTAAATACGTTATAAAAACGAAAAACCCCTCTTTTTTATTGTCGATATCTACGTAAAAATGTCTCATCTTTTGATCTAGACTATCAAAAAAATTCCAAAAGTTGAAGATCATGGAGATAAAACGTGTTTTTCAAACAAGTGCATTTTCCGAGGTTATGGGAGAAAATTTTCGAAAAACTGATGCCACCAATGGAAAGCTGAGGAAAAAATACGTAAGAATATGTTTTTAGATAATTTTTTTATCAAAGTTTTGACACCGAAACGACGAGTTGAAAACGTCGTGTTTGACGCCCGCGCGGGCCGTCCACCGCGGCGCTGGGACAGTTGACGTGATTCTCCCCATATTTTGATAATATTATAGTTAGTCAGAGCGGACTGTAATATAAGGAAAAATTCTCCCATTCTCGGGCTTTCCAGTCTTTTAGACAACTTTATGGTCCGGCACATATATAAGCTATTTGCAGAGAAACACTGATTTTACGTATATTGTGTTCATTCAATAACTTTATCTCTTCCGTAGACAGATTTTGGAAAAAGTATGATAAAAACTGACTAGAAATACCTCTAGGAAAATAATGCACATAATCATTGATAAAACCTGATAGTATGTCAAATGATTTTAAATCAATCAAAAGTAATGGGTATTTAACACCATAATTATAATTTTCACTCGTTTTTTCAAGCATTAATTGAACGATAGCCTTGTGATTATAATTCTTTGGGATAGGACTTATAAATGGATACTTCATGTTTCCGTCAGAAAATTTTTCTGAGTGTAAATTACAACTATACCAACCGTTGAACTGTTTAATTCCTTGAATTAGAGCTCGAGCACTTAATTGACGCAACAAGCAAGTATACACAATTTAAATTTCTGTTCTTCTTCTTGTATGCAACATGGAATTTCATTCACTATTATTTCATTGATCAAATCAACAAACTTATCAAGAAATACAGTCATTTGAGGTTTCTTCTTGCCAAAGTACAGTGCACATGTTACGAGATTTGTCATCCTTTCTTGTTTTGGCAATTTGTTTATCTGTTAGTACAAAAGCTATATAGAAGAACTGTATAAAACAAAATTATAGCAAAAAGTTATTAAATTTTGAATATCATAAAAAATCGGATTTATTGAAAAATGGACATCTTCTAACATCTATAACTGGGCCTAATAGTAATTTTTTTGTTTCAAAAAGTGTAAATTTTGTTTGTCTTGAAGAGACAATAAAAATGCGTTTCATAGAAATTTTGAAAATTTTAAGAGGACAAAGTTATTTGGCATTGCCTAATTGTGAAGGATCGCAAGGGTGACCCTCTCTGAAAAACTTTATCGTGTATTGGCTTTTTTCAAAGCTTTAATCAAGACGAGGAAGATACTCTCAAACTGAAAGTTGTGACTTTGAAGCTCAGTTGTTCGGCAGCATTTTTTAGATAGCAAAAAGGACTATTTTTAAGACTTAGAAGACCAATATCTGGGCTTCCTGGATATTTAGAGGGCTCAAATTTTGGCCAGTATATTTTATTAGGTACTACAACACACTTTAATTTTAGCCAAATTTGTGAACCCAACGAGCACACTTTTTAAACAGTTGTTGAAGTAACCCACACTCGCGCGCGCGCGCGCTCGTGTGTGTGTCTAATTATCGCCTTTTCTCACTAAGATAATTCTTGTTATGGAAATTTAATTACAAAAGTCTAGGCACAATAAGATTAAATAAATTTCGAAACCGTATACTGTAAGGTTGCGTTTAGATAAACTCTGCCAGTTTGCGGAATATCACCCTTTGCCGCAAGTGTCAGAAAAGTTTAGAGAAAGTCACGTAATTTAACTTGACCCTTATTTTCACGACCCTTACTTTCAAGGCTAAATCTGGCAGTGTGCACACTACCGTCGAAACGTAGCCCTATGATTTTTTTTTTTTTTTGTTAAAATTTTAAACACTTTTTTTCATTGTACTCAATCACACCTGTTACTAACCTCTATCTTAACAGTCATTTAGACAAAAAATATTTTATTCGTTAGAGATTTTCACCCAAATTGACAGATTATTATACGAACACTTAGAGTATAGAACGTGAAAACAAGACATTAACATCATACTTGTGCATATTATAAGACAATTTTGAAATGCCGTGGAAAAATGTAATAAAATAATATGTTAGTATAATAACAATATATAATATATTGGTTATAAAATTTGTAGTCCAGTGTTATTAATACCTAATAACGTTTAAATATGACGATTTTAGTATCGCATGATATTGTGTTGTGAAACAAAAAAATGTGAGAGTCAGAATTCGACGAATGTATAAGAGAAGTAGTATGCATTGTATGCAATTTAAACTGTCACATGCTGCTACCGTACCACTCAATGAGTAATTTTATAATTTTTTCTTTTTTTTTTAAATGTCTTCGCTAACAACAAAACGTTATTAAGTTCTTACTTATGCACGCAGAAACCAAAATAAATTCTACTTGTACATACATTTTTACTATTTCTCAGCTCTTCCACTGAATCATCGTAGGTAAATTAAGAAACTTTATCGTACAGAACTTCAGACTACACATTGTAATGGACTAATTATGATATTTTTTGCGAAAATGAAACTTAAGACTTTCACCTAGTCTCCGTTTTTTGCTAATTCGTACACACCCATAACATAAAAGTCTTTTTCTTTCATGATTTTCTGTGATTTACAAGCTTTTATTTCTTATATGTAAAAATTAAATGAGTAAAACAAAAAAAGTTAAAGACTGGAATAAGATTCAAATTCTGTATGTTCTACAAACACATTTTACTTTTTGTTTTAAATGCCTGTATGCCAAAAAAATTGTAAACATTCGTTAATATATTTTGTACTTGTGTATGGTAATCAATTTCACATTCATTACAGGTATCTTTGTCGTATGGAGGAAATGAGACAGTCTTTGAGAATCATTGAACAATGTTTAAATAAAATGCCAAGAGGTGAAGTAAAAACAGATGATGCGAAAATAGTGCCCCCTAGTCGAAAAGAAATGAAAACTAGTATGGAAGCTTTAATTCACCATTTTAAATTATTCACACAAGGATTTCAAGTACCTCCAGGTAGTACTTACACCTGTATCGAAGCACCAAGAGGAGAATTTGGTGTGTACTTAGTCAGTGATGGTAGTTCGAAGCCGTACAGATGTAAAATTAAGGCTCCTGGGTTTGCACATCTTGCTACATTACAAAAAATTGGCCCTGGGCATATGTTAGCTGATATAGTAGCCATAATTGGGACTCTTGATGTTGTATTTGGTGAAATAGATCGATGATTTTGTACCTTTATTATTGATTAAATTACAATAGGAGTTGTATTTTTCAGCTGTGTTTGTAACATACAAAAAATCTGAATAAAATAAAAAACGATTACTTAGTGGCAATATAAACATATTTATGACGATACATAGTAAGTGCTTAAGCTTATGTAACTAAACATTTAACGAATAATTTTCAATAATTCTAAAATTCTTTAACCTCTGTTAGAATAAACCCACCCTGGCTTAACAATACTTTTAAAACTAAGAGTAATCAGTAGTTTTGAGACATAAAGGTACTCAAAGTATTTTTTTATAAATTGTAATTTATGAACTTGAAGTGCAGACTTTAGTTATATTTCTGCTTGAAAATTGAGATACGTAGTCCCAAGAAACAAGGCATCCTTTTAAACATAAATCTCTTGAAGCTAATTACGCTTCAAAAAAATATTGCAAAGACAACTATATACGAGACATTATACTTAAAAAAATCAGTAAATTAAACACTACATTTTAATACAAGTAATTTTTTACTTAAAGCACAGACAGATAAGGAATTTTAATTTGTTGAATTTAATACGTAATATGGTATAATTTAAAGTCATAAGCAATATAATTTCTTAAAATTACAAACTTTTTCATCCTAAATAGATAATTGGTAATTTCAAAAATTTTGTTGTAATACTCATCTTATTTATTTTCCTTTCCAAAGTTCCTTTATTGCGTACACTTTCATATCAATTTCTAAATTCTGAGGTCTAGCATGTTTATCATAATTTTTTTTACTTGTATGTTTACATTTAAAGAGCTCATCATGAGCTGTACCTGTTTCATGCGTATCTCTTAAGCAACGGATCAAATTAATAAGATAATTATTATAAGACTGCATTTGATTTTCGGTTGGATATGGATTTAGTGGATATGCTTTTCTAACGTATATTAATTCATATGGTATAAATCTGGTAGCTGTGTGCAGTGATTCATTGTATTCATCTATAGCAAAATTTTGTCCCAGTCCTGTTTAGTTAAAGCTTTTGTTCTTAAAATGCTTGCAAGCATGGCATGACTACGTTCTACTGAACCGTTATATTGGGGATGGTGTAGTGGTCTTAAGGTTAAAATCGAAAATTTGCGTTAAATTTGTTAGTATATTATTTCGAAAATACTTTCCATTCTCGCTGAGTACTATTCTAGGCACTCCATACAATGCTATAAAGTGTCTTGCCCAGAGCGTCTGCGACTGTGATAGCTCGGATGTCGAGTATAGCTACTGCTACACAGTATTGTGAAAATAGACATTGTGTAGTTAATATATATTTATTTCTAGATGTTGTTGCTAAGGGTTCTACAGTATTGATGGCTATTTTTGAAAAAACTTGAGCTGGAGTATCAGTTACTATCATAGGTTCTTTTGTTTTTATCCATGTTAGTTTTTGTTCTTGGAAAATTGCATTTTCGTACAAAATTTTCAATATCTTTTCTCATACCTTCCCAGTAATACAATTCTCGTATTCTATAAGTTTTATTCATGCCCCTATGTCCGCCGAAGAGACTGTTATGGCATTCCATTAATTTTTGTTGTCTCATTTCGTTAGAAAAACAAGCACATTCACCGAAACATTCAGTTATTTTAATGTTTACATGACTAAGTTCTTGATGAATTCCTCTGGGCAAATTGTTGGTTATTTAACCCTTTCTGAATATTCTCAATGTTTCAATATTTTTATTTTCTATTGCTTTGGCTAAACCTGCTAAGCGTTAGTGAAGATCTTGAAGTAATATTTCATCTCGTTCTCTTTCTTTGATAACCAAACAGAATACTAATTTATTTTTATAATTGCTTGTTATCACGTCACATACTTATGGTTGCATTTTATTCAATTCGGATTTTGAAATATAATTTAAATCTAATAATAATTTATTGTTAGTAAAATTAAGCGTCAAGTCAGCCAGAATAAACGTTGCAATGTTGTCTTTTGCATATATTAAACATTCTCGTGTGCTTACTATTTCAAGGTGATCCATTTCTGTTCTTATTATAAGTCTAATTATAGCGCTTTCCTTACGAGTGACTTGGTCATCGCGGTCAGCATTCCATTGCTGCTCTAAAATTTCGAATGCGGCTGTAGGACGAGTAGACAGTGTCAAGTTACTCTGCTTCAGGGCATAACGCTGTTTTATGAATGTGTCTCGCTGTTTAGCACTTGAATAAGAAGGTGTATTGGGTGTACTACCATGCGTTTTTTCTTCCTCTCTAACTTCTTCGCTATCTTCTTGTTCAATGGTAGAAACATTAGGCTCTTTCCATACAATATCGACATCGTCTCTTATTACCGTAGATGCAGCCTTGGAGCGTCTTATAGGTAATTTTGATCTTATTGGAAAGCTTCCTTCTTCTATAGAATTTTTAGAGTCATCGGAATAGTCTAGTGCATTATTAGATAAAGTTTTTAAATTCTGAAAATTTGTTTCGGTTGACTCTGGTTCGTTATTTCCTGTTGTTCCTGGTGGTATGAAATTATCCCAATGTAAAGATGGGTCAGCAAAATTTGTACTTTTGCAAATTATTAGTTTAAGGATATTGTTGATCATTATTTTTATCTGAACTGCGATCCAAAGCATCTTTATGCGTTGATCTGCGAGCGTTAGATTGTAGCTTTGGTATTTGCTTTATTTTAGCAACCATTTCATCTTCTGATGTACTTGATGAGTCAGTATCAAACTTAAATCCCACTGATTTTCGAGGTTCAGTTTCCATATTTTTATTTGTAGAAGTCGTAGAAGTTGACGGTTGTTCTGAAAGGTTAAATATTTCTTCCAAGTTACTGGCTCCAGTAATAGCGTCTTGTTGTGACTCATTATCTGTTGTGGTTGAAATAGATGATGAATCTGGTTTAGTGTTCAAGAGACTAGAAAGTAGAGATTTATCTCTTTAGAGTATCGGTGCTTGCTGATTCTCTTCATCTTCCGATGTATATAGAATTTCTGTATCATCAGAGTCTGAAGTGGCCGTGGGTCTGTCAGGAGGAGGTGAACTTCTTTTTTCTTGAGCTCGATGCTTAAGTAGCCTTTGAGCTATTGATGGTCCAGGGAGTTTTCCTTGCCCTCTTTCCATTCCTGGCGATATAATAAGAGGAGATTTTTTATAGCCCTTTTTTCTTCTCGTTGCTTGCTTCGCTGTAGTAGTAGGTTCGAGCGTACTTGAGCTTTGATTGTATATATCACTGGTCCTATTAGCATATGCAATAGATGTTTTTGTTTGTCGAGAGATTTTAAAAATAGGTTTTAAGGGTGACATACGGGACTGGATTGTTTTATGATTACTAGACTCGCTGTCAGAGCTTGAACTGTTGAAGTGACTACTGCTTTTGTTACTGCTGGATGTTGGAATTTTTTAAACTATTTTATGCCTCCCCTTAAAATCTATATCATCTTTTACGGTATTTATTTCATAAGAATCTGCAGGGTTACGCGATAAAGCGTCAGCATTTGAATTCAAACATCCAGGTTTGTACTTAAAGGTGTAGTTGTACCCACAGAGTTTTGCTCTCAAACGATGAAGGCGACTTATGGAGTCTTTTACTGATTCGATCCATTTCAAAGTCTCGTGGTCTTCGTAAACTGTAAATTTTCATCCGTATAAATAGTGTCGAAAATGTACGGCTGCTATAACTGCTACACACTCTTTTTCAGTAGTGAAGTAATTTCTTTTAAATTTATTGAGAGTTCGAGACATGTTGGCTACAGTATGGTCTTCTCCTTATTCTCCTTGACTTAAAACAGCACCGAGAGCTAAGTTGGATGCCTCGGTTGTTAGAATAAATGGTTTGTTGAGATCGACACATGCAAGTACTGGGGCCTCACACAGGGCTGATTTTAATCTTTTAAAGCGCTCTTCCTGAGGCTTAGTCAAATCGAATCTTCGACTTTTCCGTAATAATAGGGTTAAAGGCTCTGTAGTTTCAGCGTAATCTTTAATAAATCGTCTATAATATCCTGTGAGTCCTAAAAATTCTCAAAGTTTCGTACAATTTGTTGGTGTTGGAAAATTTTTTAATGGCTTCAAGTTTCTTGGGATCGGGTTTTACTCCATAACCACCTATTTCATGTCCTTAATATGTTACTTCAGGAGTTACAAATTCGCATGTACCTAGCTGTAATTTTAAACCATCATCTGATAGTCTATTAAATAATTTTCCTACTTTTATTTCATGTTCTTCAAAAGTTTTGGCACATATTATAATATCTAAAAATGTAAATAGTTCTGTGGCTTGCAATCCAAATAATACAAAATCCATTAGTCTTTAGAAAGTAACTGGTGCATTGCTTAATCCAAATGGCATTCCTGTATACTCGTAATGTCCGTACGGAGTACTGAAAGCTGTTTTACAGCGATCTTCTGGAGATACTTCAATTTGACGAAATCCATTAGCTAGATCAAACACTGAAAAAAATTTTGACCCGCCAATTTTCTCTAATATCTCTGTAATATTAGGTAATAGGTAAGCATCAGGGATCGTTTAAGCGTTTAATTTTGTGTAATCTATTACAAGACGATGTCTCTTTTCTCCGTTAGGTCCTGGCTTTTTGGGGACAATCCATAGCGGACTACTGTACGGGTTAGAAGAATAGCTAATGGTTCCTCCTTGTAATAATTTATCGATCTGATCTGTAACTTTGTTGTGTAGAGCAGGAAGGTGTATATCCATATTGTTCAATAAAAACAGGTTTATCGTCAGTTGTTGGTATATTATATTGTACATACGATGCACATAGAGCAGCATTACCTTTGATATAAAATAGATGTGAATACTCTTTTACTATTCGACAAAGTTGTTATGTTAGGAACATCACTAAGATAGTCTAGAAAATTTCCTGAATGATCTAAATTAAAAGGTATGAAATTTTGCGGAGGGATCTTGATTTTGACTGGCTCTTCTCTAGTGTTTACAGCTATCGTGGAACAGCGGCCTTTATCGTATGTTACTAATGCTTCGCCTATGAGTATACCAGGTGTAGTTTGTGTCAAGCGCAAGTATGCTTGCTCATGGCTGTTAGTTTACGTTACAGGAATCTTTATGGGAACTCTCATTTTGGCTGATATTTTGCATACACGATTTTGACTGAAAGTT